TTACTCAACACTGATTTTGAATGTCCTTATGATGTGGTAGATTGGGTTGAGTTGTTTGAAGAATTTCTTGGAAGGTATTAAGGACTCAACGGAGTTAAGGTATGTTAAGGCTATCCCTCATTTCCTTTTGACATGATCCGTACGATACAAACGAAACGAGTAAATACGCAACTTTCATAAATGACTCTATTCATAGAAATACTAGGAATGTCTATATTCTTGATTCCCCATGTGTCTTATTATTCTATCATCTGTTTATGGGTCTCAGAAAAATACGCAAGTTGATAAAGTTTATTTCATGATATTAATCAAATGCATAGTGAACTTATGACATAGTCGATAAATATTATTGACATATTTCTTATGCATTTCATGCATTTATACATGTACATTGAACCATGACCAGAAGGCGTTATATACGCGTATATTATATGTATATGGGATATGGGAAAAGGTTACGGTGTTATATATGCACCACCACCTGATCAACTGGTATATGTTGATGATTTTGCCCACAATGGTTGAGATGATATGATGGGATTCCCTCAGAGGCTTGATGATGTTATGTACACCTTACCTATGCAAGATACGACATTTACATGCACGTGCATGACATTATAAATGTTTCAGGATTCACAAAGTTATTTAGACTCACTGGTGGAATTCTTTACTCCATGTTTCATTTATGTCTTTTATGTACTAATTTTCATGCCTTACATACTTAGTACATTATTCGTACTGACGTCCCTTTCTCCTAGGGACACTGCGTTTCATGCCCGCATGTCTCTATAGACAGGTTGAGAGTTCTCCAAGTAGGCTATCAGCTCAGCGGAAGATGTTAGCGCGCTCTATTTGCTCCGGAGTTACTTATTTGGTCAGTATGATTCAGACGGGTATTGTTTAGTATGGCGGGGACCTATCCCAACCTTTATAGTATTTATCTACTCTTAGAGGCTTGTAGACATAATCCATGTACGTAAAAGATTTTATGTCCTTGTCGGCCTACGTTTAGTGTACGAGTGATCATTTTGGTCTTATAGGCCCAAGTTGCTATTACATGTTTTATTCTAGTTATCCTACGACAACATTTCCATCTCATTTACCCATGATAGCATGATACAAAAAGATACGTTATGTGGGTATTCGGTTGAGTAAGGTAGTGGGTGCCCGTCGCGGCCCATCGGTTTGGGTCGTGATAGTACCATTCCAGGGCTCCCCCACTCAAACTCTGACTGAAATCGGCCATCAAAAGCTCGTCCTTCCCACCAGCCGTCTTACTGGAATAACCTCTCAAATGGGCAATGTGATCTCCATGTCCGTCATACAGATCAAACTTTGGCATCTTGAACCCGGCGGGTAGTTGGACGTCAGGGAATAGGCACAAGTCCTTGTAAGACACACTTACTTGGTTTCCTATCCCTTGCATATTCCTTAAAGATTGCTCTAAACTCTTCACCTTCCTGAATATCTCCTCTTGCTCCACATTCTTAGCGGGCTTCTCAATTTCAGCGGGAGGCTCAAAGTTAGGGGTATAACTATAGGGATCCGAGACCTTAAAAGTCGGTTCAGGAGCATAGTATTTGGCATCAGGAACTTTGAACGTGGGTTCACTAGAATATCGATGGATGGTAGCTTGTAGAGGGGCTACAAGAACAAGAGTGGATGTTAGAGCGAGATTTGAGGTTATTTTGGCTGGTGGATCATGGAAAGGCTGGGAAGAGGTGCCAGGGTAGTTGTGATAAGGGATAAAGCCTAAACCATATTGTGAGGAAAAATCAACAGCGGTGGGTATATAGCCTTGTGATAGTGGTGGGATGGTGTCAGGATTTTCAGTGTAGTTAGTGGGAAATGAGGGTGGAGTATGCCCACTAATCCAAGCTTGATACATATCTGACATCTGTTGTTTCAACCTTTGAACCTATTCATTCAATTCATATTCCAAATCCACAATCTCTTTTGATAGATCAACAAAACTTGTGTCCAATTCTTTGCTTGTCATGACTGCCTTGCTCTTTAACCTAGTGTTGTATGGATGACTCGCCAGAGTGCCACAAACCAACCACCTTCCTGAATTAAAGTTGAAAATACCAAAGAGGAAAACAAAGACAACATGTTAGCGTTAGGGTATTTATCAGATAATAATATCACATTACATGCGATGCACTTAGAAGCAATTAACTGTTCTAGAATGACTTTGAGGGTCATAAGGACATATGGAATCATCCCGATTTTCTTGTTCCAACCTTCATTTTTTATTTTATTTTAACGCTCCCTGGCTTATATCATCTTCTTTCCACTCTTTCTTTCTGCTTATCATTCTTTCCTTTCCTCTCATTTCTCACATCCCACAACTTTATTTTTTTTAATTAATTTTAAAAATGGTTCGATTGAACCCTATGTAGATTGCCTACGTATCATGTTCCACGTGAATCAAACCAAGCGTAGTTCTTGAAAAGTGATGCATAGAATAAACTAAAAACAAAATCTTTTTGGATTTTCATTTATAACTTTTTTTTTGGTTTTCAAATGGGAAGTACAATGTCAAAAGACTCGACAGACTTAGCTAGACTATGACAGACTATGATATCACCTAAAAGACTCAATACTACTGGACAAGATTAGAACGCAAAAGACAACATAAAAACGACTCAAAACATAAAAGTCTCCCTAACCAGCTCCTGAATGCAACTGTCCTAGCTATGAAGGTCATGGGGTAAGTGGATCCATATCTGAATGAGAAGAATAAGAACAAATAGAATTAGTGACTCAGGGCACTATGTGAAACAATAACACTTCATAGTGGACACATGTAAGACATTATTGAAACTACTTTTTGCAAAATGGTCTATGTGACCAAGAGTGGCTAGAATTACAAACTCAACAAAGGTGACCCCTAAGTCACAGAGATACCTCACTAAGGCTAACATGGCCTCAAACTCCCAACAATCATAGTCCTCAAATTACTTTGCAAAAATGACCCCTTTGCAGAAGTGGCCTATGTGGCAAAAAATGACTAAGCATGCAAATTCAACAGGAATGGACCTTAAACTAAGAGGACACCTTGTTTTTGAATGAGGGATCTAGGACATGGGTTAACAAGCCAGTTTTGTAAAAATATCCCTATTTCGCAAAAATAGTCGATGTGGTCAAGTGTGGCTAAACATGCAAGATTTGGCTACGACCCCCGAAGCCAAGAACTTGAGACTCACTAGGAAGAGGAGGAAGACCAGACCTTATATGTGTTGCCAACGTATCCCGACCCCGAAAGACGAGAATTTGGTATGCGTAGTTCGGGAGGATTGGATATGGGAGAAAGCTTTGAAAAAATGCAACTAATTGGAAAAACTATACTATTTGTTTTTTTGTCTTTTTTGAAAAATGATAAGAAAGTGTAAAATCTTTTTTTTTAGAAAACGTGGCAAGAGAACTAAAAGTGATAAAACCCTCAATATTCTCTTTATTTTTCACTCTTCTTTACCAAACATCAATCCTCCAAATGACCTTTCTACCATCAAAGATGCGACATTTAGCACATAGGATGATTGAATATCTTTTTGGGCCAGCGGGCCCATTTGAAATTTTTTGGACAAGCTTCCTATAAAGGAACACGGTACCTAGGACCGGGCCTTGCTATGTCATAATGATATGATGCACATAATCGTGACCTAAAGGCTGACCTATGTTTCGGTTCACTAACAGGTAATTCGGGGGAGCATATGGTCGATGGTGGCTGCTCAAGCTTTCCACCCACTCCATATGTCCGACGGCCCCCCTCCTAAAATAAGGGTGACATAACAAAGAGTTCCCGTACCCGACATGTACTTCGAGACTTGTTGCTGAAAGAATTGACCCAGGATTATGCAAATGATGACAGTTATAAAGCAGTAACACATAAAGGAAAAACTGTAAATACATAAATAACTACGCAAATAATAAAACAAAATAAACAAAATACAAATCAAACAAAGCAAATAAAGAACATAAAAACCTAAACCGAATATTCTAAAAAGCCAACAAGATCAAGTATCAGCTCGAACCTGCAATTCCCCAGCAGAGTCGCCAAAACTATCACACCCTTTATTTCCTACCTTAACCCTCTTTAAAATGATAAAAGATTTAAGTGATTTTTTAAGATCAAAAGGGTTTTCAATTTGAAAGTGACGAGATTTGTGTTTCAAAATATTTTTCAGAGTTGCCACTTGACATTTGATTTCGGTGTGCCAAGTCACCGCTTCAAAATTAATTTTTCTTTCAAAACACGTGTGACTCTAAACTGACTGCACCAGAAATTCTGAGTAAGGGGGTTAATTTGACTCGGGGAGAAGGTGTTAGGTATTTCCCGAGTCCCGTAACTAGTACGGTTGCATACTTTATCAAGTTGGCTTTAAATGGTACTCAAATCGAGGTAAAACACACAAAAGCAGAAATGAACACAAAGAGGTTTGAGGTCACCGCTACCTAAAAAAAATAAAAATAAAAAAAAGACAAAAATACTGAATTTTATACTACGCTTCCATAATGCCGTCCGCCTCCATTGCTATTTACATGTACTACGGGACATTCCCCTGAACAAATTAATATTTACAAACTTTTTGGAGCATACCCCTAATAAATTAAACTAAGAGGATGACCTTTCACCTCAAATGAAATAGAAAGTCTTAAAAAGCTACTTGCGGTAATAATAAATAAAAGCAACAAAGACATTTTTATAAATCCAAATAAAAAGATAATGCCTCTGACCAACAAACAAAGGAAGGAGATACGAAAAATAATATAAAGACATATAAAGAATTGTCACGACCCAATTTTTTCCTCCGTTTGGTATCGGGATGGCACCTAGTCTTAGGGACTAGGTAAGCCTAACATTAATTGAAACAACATTATTTAATTAACATCTAACAAAATAAATAGAAATCTCTTACAATTCCCAAAACCGGTAGTACAAGTCATAAGCTCTACAGAGTATTTGCTAGAAAACTTCTAAATACAACTGTCGAGAAATAAGAATAAACAGTGCAAAACAAAAAGTTAAAGGTGACTCCGAAGCCTGCGAACGCAGCAGCAGGTTTACCTTGAGTCTCCACAGCAATAGTCCACACAGCTAACGAACAAGTATTTGGATCTGCACAAAAATGTGCAGAAGAGGAGCATGAGCACACCACAGCGGTGCCCAGTAAGTATCAAGACTAACCTTGGTGGAGTAGTGGCGAGGAACAGTCAAGACACCCATTGGTCTAATAAACTGAACAGATATAAGTACATGAACAACAAGAGTATGATGTCATATGAAGAATATGCAATATGGCTCACAGTGCAGAGATGGAAATAAGGAAGGAAACAACAAGTATAAGCAGAATATCATGAAAATGACACAGAAAAGTGAATGGAACACAACATAAATTCGAAATCACAAATACAGCAAGGACAAGTAATAACTCAGCAACTACAACCGCTTTTACATCAGGTTTTAGTCAACAACTCTATGAGGTACCGAACCTCGGACAAATCACAACTCACGGGTTTCAATACCTGAACTCTAACACCTGGCATCCTGTGCCCTCATAACATCTCATAATCACACTGATGACTCACGTGCCAATAGAGCCATTCTCACATAAAAGGCAAGTAAACAAGGGTGAGCATCTATGCTCAACAATATCAAGAATACCTCTTATCCGATAAGAGTGCTTAACTACGTGTATGCTTGTGCAAGTGACCTACCATAGTCCATATCAGCAAATAAGCATAAGGAAAAAAAGAACGGACAACACGTAGAATATTTTCTCACGGCTTTCACAAGATAAATCTCACACAGGTATGTATACCACTTCACAAATATCAACAACAAGAATACCCCCAGGCCACAATTCATCACAAATCAATCCCTGACACAGCCCACCTTGTCTCGCCACGTGTGCAATAGTAACATAAANAAGAAACCTCGTGCATCATAATAATAACAATAGCACGGTAGAGACCTCGTGCATCACAACAACAAGTACAATAACAATAATGACAATAATACAAAGTACGACAAGTAAATCAACTCAAGAACTTTAATTCACAAAGAAACAGTAGAACCAATTCACAAGGAATAACCACAGTAAAGAATGATAGGCATAAAGAGAACAGCTCAACAAAGGGAAAACTAATGTGTAGCAACGGTCCCACAATATATATTTCAACAACAGGGAGAGCTAACACGAGTCAAATAATCCAAATAAAACAAGTCAACTAAGATGTAGGATATCTGAAATTTCTTTTAAGGTTGAGAAAAGTTTGAAGGATATTCAACAATTCAATTAAGGATAAGCAGCGGAAAGATAATCATAACCTCAATTAATACTGAACAAATTATAGGATGAGATAATAATAATTCCAAATAAAGATAAGCAGTTATGAAAAGATAGCATGACAATAGAGGAGGTAAAATCTTCAGTTAAGTCAAATAAGAGTCAAATAGGCAATAAGAGTAAATCCTGAAAATGATTAATTCTAATTAAAACATGTAGAGGTGAAACTAGTAAATAAGAACTTAATCATATCAAGAACAACTATATACTCAGTGAATATAAGGACCTAAAAATCCTAAAAGGGCAACTTTTCACAAATAAGTCCGAGCATACACCCGTCACCTCGCGTACATGGACTACAATCAACATAGAAGACTCAAATCCTAAGGAAAAAATCCCCCACACAAGGTTAGGCAAGATACTTACCTCGAACCAAACTCAAACAATCGGTCATAATGCCTTTTCCACGAATATCCGGCTCTGAATGGCCCAAATCTAGCCAAACACAATTGCATAACATGAATACAACAATAATAGACTCATCTAATCAATAAAATCAATATTTTAACAAAAATTCCGAAATGCGCCATAAAAAGTCGACCCGGGGACACATCTCGGAATCGGGTAAAAATCACAAAATACGAACACCCATTCACTCATGAATCCAACCATATAAGAATTACTTAAATCCGACCACAAATCCCCCTTCAAAATTCAAAATCTTTATTGAAGAAGTTCTTCCAATTTTTCCCAATTTCAACCCCAAAAATCCGAAATTAAATGGAGAAAACAATTATAGATTAATGTAATACAACCAAAAACAAATTAGGAATCATTACCCCAAAGCTTCCTCTGAAAATTCCTCAAAAATCGCCAAATTCCGAGCTCCCAAGTCCAAAAATGAAGAATGAAATCAAACCCTCGAATTTCTCTTTTCTGCCCAAGCGTGACCGCACCTGCGACATAATTAGCCGCATATGCGCAACCGCAGGTGCGCATTTCCAACTGCACCTACGCTTCCTCTCGCTTCTGCATCCCAGAATCCGCACATGCGGAGCCTGCCAAGTCCAGCTCTTCTCGCACCTGCGCATCCATCTTCGCATCTGCGGGCATTGCAGATGCAGAATTTTCCACGCGCCTGCGATCCCTGGCACTCCTCCACTTTTCCGCTTATGCGCTTGCCTTTCCGTACGTGCGCTCCCACACCTGCGGTCTCTTCACTGCAGGTGCGAAAATACCAGAAACCTGAAGACTTAGCAGCAACACAAATCAAACTTTTAATCCGTTAAGCACCCGAAACTCACCTGAAGCCCTCGGGACCTCAACCAAACATACCAACCAATCCTAAAATACCATACGAACTTAGTTGAGCCCTCAAATCACATCAACTAACGCTAAAATTACGAATCACCCTCCAATTCAAACTTAAAGAACTTGAAACTTTAAATTCCTACAACCGATGCCGAAACCTATCAGACCACGTCCGAATGATCTCAAATTTTGCAGGCAAGTCCCAAATATCATAACGGAGTTGTTCCAACTCTCGGAATCGCATTCCGACCCGATATAAAAAAATCCACTTCCGGTCCAAATCTCCAAAAATTCGACTTTCACCATTTCAAGCCTAAATCAGCTACAGACCTCGGATTTATAGTCCGGACACGCTTCTAAGTCTAAAATCACCCAACAGAGCTAATAGAATCGACGGAACTCCATTCTGGAATCGTCTTCACATAGTTCCGACTACGGTCAAAATCCTAAGACTTAAGCTTCCGTTTTAAGGACTAAGTGTCCCAAATCACTTTGAAACATCCGGTAAACGAATTCAACCACGCACGCAAGTCAATACACATAATATGAAACTGCTCAGGGCCTTATACCGCCGGACGGGACTTAAATTCTCAAAACGACCTGCCAAGTCGTTATAAGAATAGATCAAAATATGATGTTGGCTTACTTGACAATTTGACTACAAAGTCTCTTTTAGTAAAAATAGCTTCGTGTTTAAATAGTATTTACCGAATACTTGTCTCTTCTTAATTTAATCCACATAACCCATACAAACAATTCACTTTTTTTTTTTTTTTTTTTTTTTTTAA